AATGTAAATGAATAAATATAATAATATGATTAAAATAAAAAAAGATTTACCTAAGTGAATACAAAATAATAATAATAAATTTAAAATAAATTTAAAATAAAAATAACTATCATTTTAAGAGAAAAAATAAATTCTTTTTATTAAAAACGATTGATAGGAGCTTTGTTGAAAACAAGAATCAAATCTATGATTTTTTTTTTCATCTTGTATTAAACTATTGAACTTATTTAATAAGTTTGGTTGCTATTATATCATAAAAATTATCAACTGAATATTTTTATTTGTTGTTTTTTTATTCTTTAAAGTTTTTGCTTATTTTTATGAAAAGAAAATTGATGTGTTTCCATTATTTTTTGTATAGATATGAGACGAGGTACGCGAGCTGCATCTTCTTCTAGACAATAGATTGATCCACAAGGAGAACCAAAAAGGTCACTTTGTCATCTTATTCGAGGGCTTCGTAGGGCTATTCCTTCATAGCAGCTGCTGCCCAACTTGAGCCAGCCTCCTGCATAGCAGCAGCTTTCTACCTTCACTCAGCTTCCCACACATCATCAGCAAGAGCAACCCACTGTTACCCAGCCAACATTTGACAATGACCAGTACCATGGTGATGATGCAACAATGGAGGAGGACACTAAAGAGCATAATTTGGAGGTTGAGTTGGATGTTGAGTTTGCTGTGCTTGATCCTGAGTTAGATGCTCAGTTGGAGGAGAAGCTATCACATGCTATCCCGAAGACAAGACGTGGCATGGATAAAGGAGATGACACTCTAGCAGACCCAAGTCAAAGAAAGTTGCTTAGTTTAAATCGTCGAGGCACATTCAGCCATTAGCGGTTTGTGAGGACTGCAACAGTAATATGGAAGTACTTATATGATGAGCCAATGCTTTTTTGGTCTAGTTGGCCTGCGGAAAAGAAGAGGGTTGCTTCGGAGAATTTTCAAGTATAATTTTCCTTCATCACAAAAGCACTTTGTGATTTTTTATTTTCCTTCTTGGATCAGTGGTGGTGAATATGGAATGGTCATTTTTTTGGTTGTTGGATTATGTTCTGTTTCCATAATCAAATTTCATTTTGAGTGAATTGGTTATGAAGTATTTTTGAGAATTTATTTAGATGCTATCTTTTGATAAGATTATGATATGGAAGTGTTGAATATATCTTATATGATTTTTTACATTTTGTTATTGGTTGAAAAAATTGATATTTTAGGTGGAACTTTGTCTCTCTCTTTTTTTTTTTTTTTTTTTTTAATAAAATTTAACTAATTTTAATAAATTGTAGTGGACATATTATTGGGAAGAAGATGATGCTCGTGTGTATAAAATTTAGAGATTACATTGCCAAAACCATTTCCGAGATGAGCTTCATCGAGCTTGAAAGGCATGGCTCAATCACAAGAAGTTGCCCGAGTTCATGCATAAGGAAACCTTTAAGATTTTGCTGGCAAAATGGAGGAGTCCAAAATATACTGCAAAGGGTGACCATGTGACCCATACAACTGAATGCATTTCTATTGGGATCCATGTGGATCGATTGGTTAGTAGAATATACTTATATATATATATATATAAATTAAAAAAATTGTTTTTGTTTACCATAAAAATGGAAATATTATTAATTTTATTGATGTTTTAATAGGCAGCAAAAAGAGGAGGAGTTAGGCCGACACCTTTAGAGTTGTACTTGTTGACTCACATGACTCGCCGACTTGATGCTCCAGAAGATGCCCCACCCACTTGGATATGTCCACAGGCTGAGCAAACATATGTAAGTGTATGATTCTTTTATGATATTAATTATATTTATTTTTAATGTCAATTTTGATCAAAAGCTAAAGACAAGTGATACAATTTTCTCCCCATTGTACTCAGTCATTGTTATTTTTCGTTTGATTTCCCATTATCATTTGAAATTGTTAACTAATGAAAATTTTATTCTTCAAATAGAACGATGCTCACCAAAAATATGTGGAAAAGCATGGGTCAAACAAGGATTTGTGGCCAGCATGGGATCCACTTATTTGGAAAGAGGTGGTTGGACCCCCTAAAATGGGTCAGATGAGAGGGATGCCTATATTATAGGATCCAGCAGAGCATGGGATCCCTTGGCAACAGTATGACATGAGTGAGGCCTCTTCTTCTACCACCAGGATTCTTATGTCACAAGTCCAGCAGTTGTAATTTGAGCTTACTCAAGTTCGAGAAGAAATGGCTGAATGAGTTCAGATAGAGGTGGCCACACGTATTCATATAGAGGTATCACAGAGAGTATCAGAGTTGGAGGCCAGTTTTGAGAGGAGATTCCAAGAGCACATGCGCTTACTCAGCCAGCAATATTCTATGAATGTTACACAACCCCAAACTAGTGGTCCTTCTGATGGAGGGTCTAGACCTGATGACTTACCACCTCCTACTTAGAGACATTAATATTTTAAACTTATATTATATATATTTATATATATGTAGTGCATATGTATATATATATTGTATTGGATGAGGAGTTAGTATGTATTTATTAACCCTAGTTTTAGTTAGGTTTAAATACCATTTTGGTCCCTCAACTTTCCACTTTGCTACCAAAATTGTCCCTTAACTTTAAAAAGTACCAAAATTATCCCTAAACTTTCATTTTCAATACCAAAATCATCCCTAAACTTTTATTTTTGGTACTAAAATAGTCCTTCTGTCAATTAAATGGATAGGTGGTACGTTAAAATGCCACAAAATCACATTTTTAAAAAAAGAATAATTATGTGGAAAACATACCATGCAAAAAGTGATGAGATGGCATTTTTTTTCCATGTGTTATTTTTTTTATTTAAATAAAAATTAATTTATAAATTAAATGAATTTAAACATAATTAAGTTAATTAACTTTCATTTCATCATCTTCTTCTTTCCCCTTATCCTCAGCCTCATCCTCGGCATCATCATCTCATCGTTTATCTTCACCATCCTCTTCGCCATCCTTCTCATCATCTTCGCCATCCTCTTCCTCTTTATCATCCTAGTTCCTCGTGGAACCCATATCTGGGTTCACAGAACTCGGTGCTAGGTTCCACGAGGAACCCAACCCGGTGCTAGGTTCCACGAGGAACCCAACCCGGTGCTAGGTTCCTCAAGGAACTCAGTTCTGGGTTTTTCAGCTCCTTGAAGAAGCTAGGTTCTAGGTTCCTAGGTTCCTCGATGGAAGCTCCTTGTGCTTGTTTCGGTACCGTTAAGGTAAGAGAAAAGATATCTTAGTCTTTTCTCTGACATGCTCTTCGATTTCTAATTCTGGTTTTGAAAATTTTTTTCTGGGTTTGTGATCTGCTCCACAAACAACCACAAACAATTGCTCCATCAAAGAAAAAAAGAAACAAAACCAAAAACATCATATGATTTCGAATAGGCAAACGTTAAGAAGACTTGGTTGCTCCTCCAGTTTGGGCCACAACAAGTCGACCTTGGTTGAGAGACAAGCACCTGAGGCGATGGCAACGGCTGTGACAACGACGTGGGTGATGGTGAAGGTGATGGCGCCACGGATAGCGGGGATAGCACCAGAAGAAGTAGCGGCGATGGTGTTTAAAGAAACGAAAATTGTGAATCTACTTTTTGCTTAATTATCTAAGCCTAAGAGACACCCAGATCTGGGTTTGAGAACTGGGTTTTTCTCAAACACACACAAAGAAAAGCGCACAAACATTCATAGAAGCTGTGGAGCTTTGTGAATTGTAATGGCGTCTATTTTGTAGATCTCAAAACCCTATCTTTTCTCTGCGTTTAAAGATTCTTGATATTCTTCTCAAGATTCTTCTCCGTTTCTCTCAAGAACGAGCTAGCCACTAGTGAGAGCTTCATTTTTGTTATGTTTTTTCGAACTCTTATGGTTGATTCTTGGTCTTGATTTTGCTACTTTTCTTTGTCTTGATGGAACTATAATTTTGGGTTCTCTTTAAACCAGTTCTTGCTGGTTTCTGCGTTGATTTCACTGGCATTTTGCATTCTGGTTTGCTACAGATTGAGTCTCTAGTGATTTTGGTATTGTTTCTTTTTGATTTATTCGCATTCATGTGATTTGACTTGGTTTGGTGAAATTCAAACGCGTATTTGAGGTTTTTTTGTTAGATTGTGATTTAGTTTCTCTTTTGTTGCGTTTCAGTGGTGACGGAGGAGTCATCTGGGTTTGAGAAAAACCTAGATCTGGGTTTGATTTGGAGAGGAAGAAGAAGGGAGAAGAGAGAGAGAGAAAGAATAAGAAGAAGAAAGAAGGATGAGCAGGGAAAAGGAAAGGAGGAAGGAGATGAAGTTTGAGAGAAAACCCAGATCTGGGTTTGCAGAGGTAAGGGAGAAGGAAAGGTAAAGGAGAGAGAAAGTGAAAGAGGAAGAAGAGATGACGTGGATGGAAAAAAAATATCATTATTTTTAAATTAAAGAAAAATGCCAATTCATATAAAAAAAGATGAAGAATTATTTTTTTTCCACATCTTTAGTTAAGAAAAAAAATAGATTTGCTGACAAGTTAACGTGTCACCTGTCCATTTAACTGACAAAGGACTGTTTTGGTATTGAAAATGAAAGTTTAAGGATAATTTTAGTATTTTTTACAATTGAAGAACAATTTTTGTGCCAAAATAAAAAGTTGAGGGACCAAAATGGTATTTAAACCTTTTAGTTATGCAGTGTTAGAGTTTAGATTAACAAAATATATAATATTAATAAAAAAATCTAACAATCCTATAGTAAAAAGAAAAAAAATACAGTGTAATATTTTACAAAGAAATAGCATATATTTATCTTTATCTAAACTAGATTTTCTATAATCAATAATAAGAATAAAAAAAATGATTCTTATTAACTTTAAAACTAAAAATTATACAACAGAATCAATAAAAAGAAACTCAAAAAAAAAAAAAAACCAAAAAAATAGAAAACAAAAAAGAAAGAATTAGATAAACCAAACTGCCTACTATCTCTTGAAAAAAATAAATTTAAAAAAACTATGGACTATAATCAATAAAAATTAAAAATAAAAAAAAATAAATTAAAAAAACTGTGGATTATAATTGATAGAAATATTGTCTGTCAAATATACTTATAATCGACAGACATTTTTTTTTGTCAATTATAAGTATATTTGACAAACAATATTTTTTTCAATTATAATCCAAGCTCGCCATCTGCCTCCCAAAAAAATTAAATTTCCTAGCTAGTTAAATTTGAAATATAATCGACAAAAGTTTACAAGTATAATCGACAGAAGTTCTGTTGAATATGTTTTATTATATATACACCCTCCGACATTAGAACATCTCTTTGCCTTCTGATTTTCATCTTTGCTTGCCTCTTCCCTTCTCCTTCTCCTTTCTGTAGGTAACGTCCCATTTCTTCTTTCAGCTTCTTCTCTTTTTTTTTGGTTTAATCTTTTATATTCTCCGATTTATATTTTTGTAAATATCTTTAGTTTTATGTCATTATTCATTAATACCTATTTCATTATCTTCTTTGTTGACAATCCATCATCTTTTTTCTTTTTAGATTTTAATACTTTGATTATGAGGTAATATGAGGTAATTTTTGTGATTTATACATTTTATTTTGTTTTCTTTTTGAATTGTTATTATTTGATATACATTCTTTTCTTCATTTTCGGCAAGAACATGAATAAATCTCAACAAAATCCAAAATTATTTTATAATGCTGATTTAATTTTATTTATGTTTATCTATTATTTTTTATATTATTGTTGAAATTGTTTCATAAATATACTGTTTGGGGGACTTGATGATTGCGTTAAATTTCATTTTATTGATTATATATATATATAAAATTAAC